TATATAGTATAAAATGTGATACATAGCTATGTTATTAAAATACAGATGACAATTATTCACTCGTACATAGAATGTTTTTAAATTGCTTAATATGTTAGACATAAACATGTGAATAAATTAACATTTTTATAAGATATGGACTGGCAGAGGCTCTCAGCACTGACAATTAAGGAAGCCAGTAGATAGTTGCTGTTTAAATTCCGATCAGAAAGAATTTTTAAAATAGACATCAAAGTTAGGTATATGTTATCTGACTAGCTTCTTACTTTCATGCTGAGTTATTTCGACAGTTGTGTGTTATCTATTGAGAATGTGGATATAATTCCAACTTTCATAAGATTGTTTTGTTTTTCCTGAATTTTTATGCACTTTATTGTATAATAAATAATTTACTGGTTCCGTAATAAATGCTTTAATGAAACATTTACGGAAATTAAGAAAAAGATATTATCAAGTTTTGGTAGCGTTTAATTAGATTTCTTGACCTTTTAATTTTTCGAGAAAGTTATTTTCCTCCACACATATCTAGAATTCCAAAGACTTTTTTCTTAATAATATTATGTAGCATAATTTTTTTAAGAGAATATGTAAATAATCAGACACATATTTCTTATTCTTTATTACAAGTGAAAAGGAAAAATATGATAGGAAGGGACCAGACGTTGATTTCTGTCATTCAGAAGTTCTTCTAACCTTCTGCTCAAAACCGAGACAACAAACATTCACCTGACCTGCCAAATTGTCAGAGCTGAGAGCCATGGCCATTCCATGTACCGTAAGGATTGTCCATTTATCTTTTATATTTTCCGGTATAACAAATTAATTTCAATGATTCCCCTCCTAACGACCGTATTTTTTAAAATCACTTCTCAAACTGATTAGTATTTCTGAGAACACAGATAAATATCTGTGTTGAATATCAGCTCTCTAAAATGAATATCTCCGAAAAAGACTGAAATTATCTGAAAACAAGGCTGGGTGCCTTAGAGTTAGAGGGTGCCTTAGTTAAGAGGATTGATACCGCCCGCTGGCCACGAAGTGGCCCTTTGACACATGAATGAGTCTATTTCTTAATAATTTCCATCTTTTAATAATCTGTCTTAAGTACCTTTATATTTTAATAATAATACGTATGCACTGGCCGGTTGTTGTAGTTTAATCTACTAAACTTACCTGACAATTTCTGCAAACATCTGTGTTTTAGCATCCTGTTTGACGAAGCAAAAATTTCCTACAATTTTCTCATAGTCTCGTATTAATTAAAGATTTATACTACATTTTACATCGCTTTAATTAATTTGGCTTTTCTGTTAGAGTCAAATTTTGAATGTCATTTTTAATTTGCTTCTTCTACCAAGTTGATTTTCATAACATTTTGCTTACATGAGTTTGTGGTGACAATACAGTGTTCTTAGCGATTTCCTTCATATTCATTATAGAATTGTTTGACATTTGATGTTCAAATTTTCCGCATATCTTACCTGTCAAATTAATCATCCCAAAATTTCGCAGTGTCGAACTGTACAGTATCCGATAAATCAAAAAATAATCTTCCCAAAAAACAGATAAAATTGCGGTTTCATATGCGCAAGCAAAGGTTTTTTTTTTTTTTTAAATTTTTTTTTATTTATTTTTTTTTATGTGAATTTAGTACATAAAACGCTAAAATTTCATACGTTGTTATTCTAATGTTTTAGTTTTGAGATTTTTAATGCTCAAAATGTATATTTTCAAATTCCGAACTCCTCAAGTGTAAATGGTGTTTTAATAAAATTGCACTTGATTTTATTAAAAATGGATGTAAAGAGAATTTTCTTGCTTAGGAATATTTTGAGGCTAAAATTTAGGAGGAGGGGAGGCTCTCAGTTAATTGTATTTCAGCAAAATAAATTATAAAATGAAAACTTTTTTTAAGTCTTATTAAACGAAAATAATGTTTAAAATTTTTTTAATATGCAATTTAACTAATCCATTGCCTCTTTTAGTAAGTTTAAGTACTTTCATTATAACAAATACATCCGAAAACTGTGTACAATATTTATTATTATTCTAACACGAGAAAATGTAATTTACACTATTAATGTAATAAATGCTGCTATTATTCATACCATCAGAATTTATAGTTTTACATAATCCATTCATTTTGTTGAATTAAAATTGATTTGAAATGCTGATATACTATATTATTTATGACGCACATGAATGCGAAGGAAAAATCGCCAATTCAAATGCTTATAGCAGTTTTCTTGTCTTTGAAGAGGTGAATGCTTTTGAGGCAGTAGAACGCCATCTGGTGATTTAGTGGGCGTTTCCTAGGCAATGCTCAAATCATAACGAAATAATCCCCCTCTCCAAAAGAAGGAAATACATCAGGGAGGAATGAATGTACATTATACCAGATTATTTTTCAGTTAGGCTTTGAAATTGTATGTCTTCTAAAATTAATTCGAAGTTAATTATTGATAATTTAGTAGCATAAGATTTCTAATTATATATTCTAGAGCATTATTTCATTATTGACAAGTTTATTAATTGCCTATTGATCTCATTATAAGCGACATAATTTTTAAATATATATTTTTTGTGTATTTCTGTACTTTTTTTTTGCCGTTTTTACTAACCTAAAATAGATATGAAAAGAAAAAAAAAGGGGGGGGCTGGAAATTTTGGACAAATTTCCCTAATGACATTTCTGATATTTAAATAGCTTTATAAATGTACTTTTTCTTAGAAAGTATGGCATCGCTAATAAGATTTAACAAAGACATTCTGTTGAGGATCAAATCCTTTTGAAGACAGAAAAAAATCTGATGTTCCGGATGCTGCGCATTTTAAATAGGCTACAGTTGACAGAAAAGATACTAAAACAATCCGAGATAATCTGAATGAATCATCTGCTTTTGCCAGCCTGGTGACCTTGTTTAGATGGTACACCTTTTCTGCATGTAGCGTTATGCTACTAGGAATCGAAATCATTCGGTTCCTACCCGTTCTCTATTTAAAGTTTTCGCTTTATGTTTTGCGAGCCTTTTTCTTCGATTTTTGTTTTATTTCGTTGCGGATTTCGTATGTTTTTCGCGTTACAATTCTGGAAGAAATGAGGGGAGCTGCACTGTTCACAATTTCCTGAACCTATGCGTATTGATGGTAATTTCATTATGGAGTTAATGACTGGTGTTTTGAAGACATTGCAGCTCCATTCTTCTTCATTAATAATTATATACCATAATTGCTCGCTTATTCTCCCCCACCCCGTTTTTTAAGGGGAAAATACGCGTGGGAGAGAAATGTGCAAATAAGTAAATAAATAAATAATGTGAGTTTTTGTATAAGGAGGGGGACAAAAATAAAACATGAAAGAAAAAAATATTATATTTGCGATAATTTGCGTCTTTTATTTTATGTTTATGTTACCGGCAATGTATCAAACGCCGCCTTTCTATAGAATACCTGTTTCATATATTTTATATATATTTTATTTACATATATTACATGTACTTTATATATATTTTATTTACATATATTACATGTACTTTATATATATTTTATTTACATATATTACATGTATTTTATATATGTAATATATATATATTATAAAATACCTTGCAAAGTATGAAACAGAAGAATTATTATATACTTTCTCTCTAGGCATTGTTCATAATACCTGAACATTCTGTTGAATGACGAATGATATTTAGACAAAATAAGGAAAAAAGATCATGGCTAGGCTATTATTTAAAAGACGTGCACTCCTCAAAAATAAAAATGTTATTTTGAAAAATAATGAGAGTGCCATTAAAAAAACTTTTATTCAGAATATATAAAGAAAAATGAAAGTTGTGCAAAACAAAATTTATGTCTTTCGTATTAAAGAAAGAAACGTATGAAAATGTACGAAAAATATGGAATTATTGAGTGAATGTGTTGAATATAGGGATTACGTATTAAATGCATAGATATTCGAAACGAATCGCAGATGTATTTTATCTTTGCCGGCTTGTCATTTGGCATTCTATAGAATGCCTAGAAAATGTATGATAGTTAATCGTTTCATACATTGCCCGTCATTCTGCAAAACGAATAGGTATTCTATAAGGTGCCGGCGCTATCAGTATAATGGAAGCTCATGTTGTTAAATATTTCCTTTTATATCATGAAAGTAAACCTACATCTATATTTGCAAGTGTGATGAAGTTTCGGGTTTACATAGATGATGATAGCTGGATGCTTATAAAGATGACACTATTACGGCCGGTTTAAGAGCCACGCGCATTATTCTGTAATTACAAAGTACATTCACATATTCTCAGCATCACAAGTGGTGGTGGTGGTAAAGTGACAGACTACGTGCTAGCTGGACAGACGCAACCGCGAAAAAAATGTGATTGAATGACCAGATTAATACTGGTAAAATTGTTATATTTCTTAATAGAAGCGCATAACATCGCATCATTACTATTAGTTGATAAAAGTTTCTGTTTAATTATAATTAGGTAAGAGATTTAACTTTCACATTTGTTATTATTCAAGTGCGTGTTTCACACACGTTATATAATAATCCTTTGGCCAGGATAAATTTTTGGGCAGCTCTTTTCATAAATATTTATTATAAGTATTTATATACAGAGAGAGAAAAGGGAATAACCAAACGACACTTGAGGTACCATTTAAAATTAAGTTAGAATTTTATCTCAGTTTTTCTTTATTTTATATGTCATTTTTACATATTTTAATTTACTTATGCTAGTATTTAATAACATGATCTTTCCTCACCTGGAGTCTGTTTGACAGTTATAATAGTTTGAGCTAGTTTTAGTGTACATGATGTTGAATAAATGACAAATTAAGAATCATATAGTACTTATATGCTTAAATACAAATTGAACTCCAACTTAATTTATGGAACTCTTGATTAGAAAGATTTTCTCATATCTATGCTAAACTTTTTCTCTTGTATAATTCAATGTATTTTTCTAATAAGATTATTAATGTTCTGTTAGGTGAAGCGTTTTCCATAACTGTGACCATTTTTACCGCCATTCGGCTTCAAATTGCTTGCTGGGTTGAGAAACTTTCACATCAATATCCATGACTCTCTGTTCACGTAGTAAGCCAGCATCTGAAAAGCAGACGAGAGACAGTCAACCGATTCCAAGTCCAGGTTGGTCCTTTCTCTCGAAAATTCAGTTTAGTATTAAATGATTCGAATGACGTCACTTCAACGATAATGCAAAATTCTTTGATGCTGTTCATATTATTTTTTGTTTTTGATTATTAATGTACCAATGAACATTTTTGAAGTACATAGTGTCCTTTAATTTAAACCGAGCGATTTCACGGCTTGGCCGCTGCTGAGCTTCATTCCGCTTTACTAAAGTGATATATTTTTCTTTCTTTTGCACGAATTTTTTTGTGGCTTAATTGTAGTAGCAAATTTGTTCAAGCCATTCAGTATTGTTAAAACATGTGAAATACAAGCGATTTTGTTCCAGGTAACATAACAAGGGCGTTAAAACCGTCTTTTGATTATAGTAAACGTTTCTCTGCCAGTTTTAAAAATAAGTGCAGTCAATGCACTAGTAAATAAGATTAGAATGAAGCTTTTACCATAAGAATGGGTATTTTAAATGCTCTCAATTTCTTCCTTACGAATTTCTAATATCACATAATATTCTATTACATTCATACACAGACACACGCACGCTATGCACAACCCGAAAAGAGGGGATGTAGATTTAACGAATCGCTGGAGAAACCATTTATAGCTACAGTTTTAAAAAAGATTTTGGCAGAAGTTAATAGGAACCGATTAAAAGTCAGAGAATATTGCAGGTGTACCAGCTATCCGTATTGATGCGGGAAATTCTCTTTCGACATATTTCTGAAGACAGTCTGTTATGTTTGAAATTTCTTACGATAGCTAAGCTTAAAATATTTCGTTATTTGCACCCGGAAATTTCTTACTGAAATTGCTTGGCTTTTTTCTGGATTATTTTTAAAAGCAAAACAAAGCTGTTTCACCATTAGTTCTACGGCACGCTACCGTTGCGCGTGTTTGAAAACGTTGTGCTCTAGTTTTGCAATCAGCATCATCTAGTTTTATTTAGCTAATGAGCACAAATACAAGTTCTTTGCTTTCTATCGTCTCGAAACAAGACGTGCCTCAAATAATAGTCAAAGAATTTGCAATCTCTTGTCTTAGCTATGTCATCGAAGAAAGATACTCATGCATTTTTCAAAATTTTACACAGACGATTTTTCTTGAATTATTTCCTCAAGGAAATGCAATACATTTATGAATATACTTTTTGTTATTGCAGTTTTTCAATTTCGACGTTCAGAAGGACAGATGATCTTAAATATTTATTTAGAAAAAAATTACGTATAATTAAAATTTTTCTTAACAAAAATAGACCAATATTTACAACTGTTTTGCTTTGATCAAAATCACAATGCTTGTTTCTTAGAGAAAACAAAGTCTAGCACTGTTTGCTGTTGTGCATTGATTCAGGTACTACGAGTATTTTTATGTTAAAAGGTACAGATAGTAAAGGTTTTCTCCTCCCTATAAATACTTTTATATTAGTTCCTTTCTGAATATTTTCATTTAAAATTTTTATCCTTGTGATAATTCTCCTGATTTATTAGAAAAAAACTCCACACCTTTGAGTTTAGTAAGCTAGCATTTAGCATGTTTATTGTATTCTTTGCCAAGACGGAAGTGATGTTTAAATATAGTTTGCAATTTTGTATTTTTATTAAGTATTTTGAAACAAATGCATGATGCTATTTGCATCTAGGCTGTTAATTAGATTTTTTTTTTAATCTATAGATCTTCAAGAAAAAATGAAGTTCCATTGTCCTGACAAAACTTTACGAAAGGTTTGTATTTAAAAGTTTTCTAAAATCAACTTCAAACTGAAAATTCTATGTAATATTCTGAATATAGATATGGTTTTCAATGTTATTTGATAAATATATATGAAGATCGTTTTTCATTTCATGTCTTTCAAGCGCATTTTACCACTCTGAGTCATTGTCTTTTTACTAACGTAAAATCATAATACCGAGAGCGTAATGCAGGCTATTAAATTTGAAGTTAAAAATGTATCAGTAAGTTAAAATAAAATAGAACTAGAAAATCACAAGGCTATTAAATTTGAAGTTAAAAATGTATCAGTAAGTTAAAATAAAATAGAACTAGAAAAATCACAAGGCTATTAAATTTGAAGTTAAAAATGTATCAGTAAGTTAAAACAAAATAGAACTAGAAAAATGACAAGCGATTAGAACAGTTGGAGTCCTGCTGAATTTTAAATATCAGTTTCATTTATAGAGGAACTGAAGCGAATGAATTACGTATAAAATATATAAAATAAATAATTTAATGATGTCGCTATAAATGTCGCTCATTGTGAATATTCGTAAGTAAATCAATTGACTTGCTAAGCCAGTTCCAAAAAGGCTGATTTGCAGTAGGAAGCCTGAGAATATCTTCGGTTACAATTTGCGTAAACAGTTTCTAAAAATTAGTTTGCCAGATAAAAAAACAGCAACGAAAGTAACTGATTCATAGTCAAATAATCTTTGCATTAAGTATTTTTTACATTGGAATTACCATTCGGTTAGATTCTGGAAGAGTATCAATCTCGTTATAGAGAACAAGATTTTCGTTTAAGTTGATGGCTTCTTTGTATATTTTATTGTACATATATACCTTTTTCATCCTATAGCGCATTTTAAAATTAAGGATAATGACTAATTCAGAAGTCAAACAACAAAAATCAGCGTTATATTTACCAAATTTTCACAGGACTAGTTTCGATGGTTTTACCGAACCACCATCTTCAGCTGCAAAACTGCAAATGAACCAGATAGGAAATAATGATTAGATAAGATAAGAAAGCCTGGACAAGAATAAGCAAGTGGCGCCATTTGTTGGTTAAACCAACAGATGTTTGGATAACTGTTGGTTTAACCAACAGATGGCGCATTTGCAGAATAAGCAAGTGGCGCCATTTGTTGGTTAAACCAACAGATGTTTGGATAACTGTTGGTTTAACCAACAGATGGCGCCACTTGCTTATTTTTGTCCAGGCTTTCTTATCTTATCTAATCATTATTTCCTATCTGGTTCATTTGCAGTTTTGCAGCTGAAGATGGTGGTTCGGTAAAACCATCGAAACTAGTCCTGTGAAAATTTGGTAAATATAACGCTGATTTTTGTTGTTTGACTTCTGAATTAGTATTAATTCGGCGTGTTATTGTGTCTTAAGGATAATGATTTTGCATTGGAAATTTGTCAATGCTGACAAGTAATGAAAAACAACTTTATGTAACTTGGAAAGAAAAATTTTATCGATTTGAGAAGTCTGAAGATGTACTTTTTTTTTTAATGTTTTTATCATCAGTTATGGTAAAGCATGCAAATGCTTGGAGATGGGTGCATTCGAGAAGGACTTTGTAAAACATACACTCTTGTTTTCAAATCATACATGCACAAAAACACGGAAATAATCATGCAGCTGTATTATTCATTAGAATTTGAACTTGCTGTGTCAAACTCAGTGTTCAGTGATTAGTGTTTTCCACTTGACCTTGAATAAATTGGGGAAAACTTTAAAGTTTTAAGTTTTTATTTTGGAATAGAATTAATCTGTAGAATCACTAAAAGTCTAAAGAAGCCTATTTATGTTATTTGAATATGAAAAATAATTTAACACTAGCAAAACATTAAACAATAATAGGAAGAAATCGAAAATTCGTGGATTTACTCTAATTTGTGAAGGAAAAAATTATTCATGAATTCTAAACAATTAAATTATTACCCTGCTTTAGGAGCAGATGATAAATCATTTGAGAAATAATTAATTATAAAAAATAAAAATAGGAAATGTTGTGTAATAATAATAATAATTCTGTATCTTTCATTATTATTTTAAACTATTCATGCTGCGCCTTTGCTTTTATTATTATGACGGGGAGATAATTTCTTTCTGTTTTTCGTTTCTCAGGAGTACAGGCTTGCAGATGGGGCGAAAACAGCCGACAGTGTTAAGTGCCAGTTCTGTGGTAAGGTGTTTCCTGATAATAACTCCTTCACCATCCATGTCAAGAAACACAGCAGTCGTCATAAATGTAAGGAATGTAACAAAACTTTGAGCTCTGCAAGTTCTTTGGATCGTCACATGTATGTGCATTCAGGCAAACGTCCATTTAAATGCAAACTATGTCCAGTTTCTTTTACTACTAGTGGGAATATGCGTCGCCACATGCGTAATTCCCATGGTGCACAATGTACCCCCAAGAATGACAGTTATGGACCTGTGTCAGAGAATGATAAGCAATCTAAAAAATTTTCGCCAGTTAAAAGAAAGCAGTCAGATTTAGAGACTTATCTTATTCCAGAGAACAGTGAAAATGATGTTGAAAGAACTGCCAAAAGATTTGCTTTTAAAAAGAGAACAGGAGAAGCAAGTGAAGTATTCACATGTCCTGTTTGTTTCGAAATGTGCATGTCTCTAGAATTGTTTCAGCTGCACATGGAAATCCATCCCGATGACGCTATAACGTGTCCTTCTTGTAAAGTTGTATCAACTAATTATAAATCTTACGAAATTCATTCTTGTACTCATTGCGAGTCACAAAGTGAAGAGGAATCTCCTCCAGCTGGCTTTCAAGGCATGTCAAAAGATTATGAGTTTTCTTCCAAGAATTTTCCATTGCTAGCAAGGAATGCTTGTGAAGAGCATCCGAGGTGTCCTAACAACACCTCAATAACTTTTAAATGTTTTTGTGGTTTAGCATTTCCTTGCAAGCGGTCGCTTGGTCTACATGAAGCTGGGCATAAAGCAGACACATTCTGCTATATATGTCGTTGTGATTTTGCCTCTCTTAAAGAGCTTAAGGATCATCAGTGGTTGAAGCACAATTGTATGGATGACTACAAGAATCTGAAACCATCATCCAGCTTAAAAGTTGAAAAAGATACTTTTATGGCAACATTAGGCTTGCTGGCTCATGTTTCAGTAAAATCATCTTCTGAAGGTGTGCCACAACCTGAAGAATCTTGCTCACTATTTTCTGATGATTCTGAAAATGTTGAGGGAGAACTAACTGTTGCTGAAACTAGTAATGATCTAGCTGATATTCCATCCATTATCTCTCTTACTTCATCTGTTCCCTGCATGACAACTTCGCAGACTTCTTCCTCAGAACATTCAGTTGAGCTGACAGTCGACTTGCCTGCTGTTGAAAGTAGTGCATCTAATAACAGTACTGACACATCTACAAGTGTAAATAAGGTGGTTTCTGTCCAGGAAAGCTTAGAGGGTATGAAAATTAATTTTGAGAGTAAGGAGCAGTTAGAGCCTGAACTTAAGTTCAGCTGTAAGCAGTGCCAGTTTAATTTTCCTACTTCACGAGAGCTGAAGCAACATGCCAAATCTCATTCACAGTCCGGTCAGCCGTATCAATGTTCATTCTGCTCTTACCAGAGTTCTGATAGGAGCACTCTTACAAGACATATGTTGACTCACAATGGAGAGCGTCCATTCAAATGCAGTCTGTGCGATTTCGCTTTCACCACAAAAGCCAACAGCATTAGGCATGTTAAAAAGAAGCACGAACTGTCAGAAAGCCAAGCAGCTGATGCTGTAATTTATAATCCGAATATGTCAGAATCTGGAGCTTCAGTTAATGCTACAAATGACAGTAGTAGCACAGAAACTGTTTGTAAATACTGCAACACGGATTTCAAGAATAATAGAGTTTTGCGTCACCATTTAAGGTCGGTCAGTAACAGTTGTCTCTATAAGCCATTTCTTTGCCAAATATGCAGCTTAGGATTTTCAACAAAAAATAATTGTACAAGGCATATCTCTAAGCAACATCCTGAATGCATAATGGTAAAGGAACGAATTGTTGTTAATATGTCATCACATCCAGTACAATATGAAACAGGAGAAGTGAATAACAGTGAAGAATATATGGAAAAGCCGTTTGCTGAAGAATTGCAGAACGTTGGAACTGATAGTTCCAATAGTGGTGAAGTTTCACACTTTGAAGAGGTTGATGTTCAAAACTCTTCTACTGAAGATGATAGAGTATATGCTGCTCAATGTTTGGTGAAATTATCCCAGAGTGTAGTGCATCAAGAATTACCATTGGATCTTTCACTTCGAGCTATGGATTTGAGTTCGAAGAGTTCAATCCCAAGTAGATTTTCAATAGAAGAAAGTTATTTAAGTTCCACAAGCAAACCATTGAGTTCAGTGCCTTCTATTGCTGAAAAATTATTGTCTAATATCCAACCTGCTCATAGTTCACCGTTTCAGTACATGAGTGAAGTCAGTGCTACAAGTAATTCAAACATTTTATCACCGTTTGGAATTAATGATAGTCAATCTGATATTCACCCTGTGCATTGTGCAGTTAATGACACACGGCCTGATATTCAACCTGCACATAGTTCGCCTGTAGTAACGAGATTTTCTGAGTTTACACGTTTTGATCAACTCATTGTTTCCCCAATTAAAACACTACAAAATGAAAGTCAAATTCCTGTCTCTGAGTCCGCACCAGCCAGCTCCCCACTGATGTGTTTAACCCAAAATTTGTCTACTCTTCCGTGTCCAACAGTGGTTGATAACAGCTGTGCTTTTTTACCACATAAAAATATTAGTATTAGTCTTCCCATAGAAAGCAATAATCAAGGTTATGAAAATGTAGAATATTCCATTAAAGATAACATAAAACTTTCGCGAAATCCAAAGACTAAATGTGTTAAATGTGATTATTGCGATGCTTCTTTTACTCTAAAATCAAACAAAGAAAGACACATCAAAAACAAACACCGAGAATATGCCAGGCCAGCCAGAAGTAGAAATTACATTCCATCTCTCTCAAATGACTCTGTAAAGTCAAATTCATCATCAATGGTATCAGATGAAACAAGGGATGCTTTGCGTGGTGTCCTGAATACTAAAGCTAACGGCAGCGGTAGCAATAATGTATTGAATCTCGCTTTAAGAAAAGCAGAATGCATCATGAATGGAAATCCGGGCAAATCCAAAGATTACGAAATGAGAAACATGTATGGTGTAGATGTTGAAAATGGTTCAGAGAATGTTGACCTTGCTAGCGTTTCATCTGTAATAAGCACAGCCAATTCTAAAAAAGTTCAGCAATATTTAAAAGAAGCAGAAAACTGTGATTTGATCAATCGCACTTCAGATACTTCAATGTTATCCAAAAGAAAGTATGACTATGACGAAAAAATCTATTTTTCTTCGCTTGATGAAAATGGGAAAAGGGAAAGTTCTTACAGCAGACATAAGAAAAGCATTCAGTGCAATTTTTGTAATAAGACTTTTCCGTGGGAAAGTTCTTTCCAGCGTCATCTATTGACACACACTGGTGATAAGCCATATAGCTGTAAAAACTGTGACCAAGAGTTCACCACGAAATCGAACTGCAATCGACATGTTTACAGATCGCATATGATGAGTGAAATGATTGCTGAAGCTTAAGTTTAAAAAGCATATTGTATTGGCATTTTTCCATGTAAATATTTTAATGAACTAGATGGCATCATGATTATCATGATTATGAAGAAGACAAATATGCCGATTGTGCCAGAAGGTTTCTCTTAAATAAAGTTGCATGATGCATCTGACAAAACGCAGTTTAGGACTCTAAGAATTTGTGAACAGCAACATTTCAAAATCAGCATTAGAACATTCAATGAATAGGAACATTACGGTTTCATTTTCTGTGGTACAGTAAATATCTAATTAGCGAGGACTTATTTATCACCTGTGTTGACTGTTTTATTGTTACTGGTGAACTAGACTGTGTAATATATAATGTACCTAGTACTGTCTTCACACATCGATAGCATATTTTTTGTTGTTGGAAGTACATTAGTCTTCAAATAACAGGAAATATAAAGTTCATTAATATCAGATTTGTGGTACTTTTGTATAGTGTGTTTTTCATCAATTCTTTTGAATCTAATATTTATTAGTGTTATTAACCCCTTAACTCAGCCGATGCGTTAACTGCCCCAGATGCGCAGCCGATGCGTTAACTTTGCGAATAATTTTAGGTGTAGCAGCGCAAAGCAAATGATAGCAGTTTGGAAGGACGTATATATACGCCTGGGGCAGTTAACGCATCGGCTGAGCAAGGCATATATATACGCCTGGGGCAGTTAACGCATCGGCTGAGCAAGGCATATATATACGCCCGCGGCAGTTAAGGGGTTAATATGTGTTTCAAAACATTCCCAGCCAAGAACTTATTTTTGTATTTCTTTTTATAGAAGCATAATTTGGTGTTTTTTACCAATCATGAAATAACGAAAAATATTTTTCATTTCATAGCATTAATTTATATATATGTTACGGTGAAAGACCGAAATCTGGAGAATGTCGACTTTCACCGGTGAATGTTGAACATATAAGAATATTATATTTCCTTCTCCGTAATTCATTCACGAAAAAACGCACTTGAGACTCAGTATAAGAACTTAAAACACACAGTACATTCAAAATCAGAAAGGAAAATAATAGAAGTTATAAACTTTATTATGTGATTATATTAAACTTTATTATGAAATTATGTGATTCAAATCTTATTTATTGCAACAACTTAAACTATTATGACGCTTTGAATTGCACAAGAGGCCCTTGATTTTACAACTGCATTTATTTGTGGAACACTTCCTTTTGGAATGGCAGCGCGTACATATACTCCTCTCTTTTCGACCTACACCAGATCATATCTGTGATTGTCGACATACACCTGGGAGGGTCCGAATGTACAAGAATGTAAAGAAATATTCGATCTTTCACCGACGTATTTGGTGAATGTTGACATTCTCCGACATTCTCCAATTTCGGTCTTTCACGGTAACATATAAAGAAATGCTTAATATTAAACTTAAAACATGTTAGGGCCAGTTTTTTTTTAAAGTGCACAGAAAAAGAGAAAAAAAAACTTTTTGTTTGGAGTATTTATTTTATGATATGCACAGCTTAGTATAATGTGTAGCTTTATTTGTAATGTGTTTTATAATGTATCAATCTTGATATAATATGCTGTTTCTATATATCTTAAAAATGTCATTGTGTTTGCTATTTATGATATGATTTTTGTGATTTTAGTGTTTGAAGTTGGATTTTTGTGACTAAGTTGATATATTCTTAGAATTAACTTTCATAATAATGAAACTTAAGGTAAAATTTTTGTAAAATCTTCCTAAGATAACTGCCCTTGGTTCTATATGATCTTGATCTTTTTAGAATGTGACTATCAATCATATTCTTCATCGTAGTTTCTAGGAATATAATTTCAGAAGTAGTCGTCTGTGAGAAGAGTTGTAGTTCTGCTTTTGAAAATGTATATTCTGAGAACTAAAATCCTGAAAGAACTGAGTAGCCAAGTTACATTAAAGGTTAAAAAAAAAAAAAATCAAAACTTTATTTTAATTTTCTATCTTAAGTTCATTTAGTAAAACTAATTTAAGTTAATGTTGAATAAGAATAGGCTGTAGAAAGGATTGAGTCAATAAGAAGAATATATTTATGAAAAAATAGGTACAGCGAAATTTGGAATTGCTTTGAAATTAAGTAGCTAAATGTAATTATAAAATACAAGTAAAATGATTTTTTGTAAGTTTATGAAATTAAAAAAGTATTAAATGGTTAAAATCAAATTTAAATTTAAAGATTTTTTTTAAAAACAGTATTTTTAATTCTACATTTTTACACGTATAACCAAGCTTCAATTTTGGAAAACTTTTTTTTACTCGATTTATTTTAACCACTTATCTGCCTTGCAAAAATACAGTTAGGTGTATTAGCTTTAAAATTTACATTCTGTTTCTAAAAGCTTCTGTAAAAAGATTGATAGAGATTAGGTGTTTATTTTTTTATTTTATTATTATTATTTTTTTATTTTTTTTTTCTTTTTCTTTTTCTTATTTATTTTTTTTTTTTATTTTATTTTTTTGTGTGTGTGTGTGTGTGAAATTTTACCCACAAGAATAGTATTATTAGGCTTATTTTTTTCCAACTTGTGGAGTAAATATTTTTTAATATTAAATGTAAAAATTATTTTAGCAGTTTGAAATTATGCATACTAACAGGCTAAACTTGAGCTTATTTTTTAGTCCTCATTCATTCCATTTCATGTATTGTGACCCATATTCATCATTTCTGTTATCATTTGGTTTTGCTACAGAATATGTTGTTGAAAATTCAGATATGGTGCAGTTAAAATTGGGAAGCTGGCAAATAAATTAGCTCAAAAAATTTTAATATCAAAATTTGAAATATCTAGAATATCTATGGCCATATTCTATTCGGGTATCCAAAAAATCAATTATGATAATAAATGGATTATTTTATTTCCTCTTTATACAAAATGCTTATTTATTATTCTGCAGAAAAGAAAATGATTTTTGTTTTATTTTGTTCAGTTTAAAAAATATAAAGCACTTTTATTTCTGTAAAACAAGATGTAAAGCATCCATTGGTAAAATTAGTGGAATTATTTTCTTTTTTGCCTAAATACCTCATAACGCATTTCGACTAAAATGAACAATATTCAACTAAACTATTATCTTGCTAAAATAAAACAATATAATTAATTGATTTTTATTGACAGTCCTTTAACTATGAAACCAGTTTTGTAAATTTGTTTATTCTGGCTAATTTTTTACACCTTGTAGGGATTTATATTTATTTTAAATAACCAATTTCATGTAATTTGTTATTCTTTCCTAAACGCCTCCATTCCCCTAATTGTCAGTGCCAGAATATTTAAATTTAGTAGCGCGCGTGAAGGAAGGCAAATTCCACTTTGAAGGAATAGTTTAAAAACCGAGGTTCAGTATAAAAGGGAGAATTAGGCTATTTGGCCTTCACCTCTGCTGCTTAAGCGTCTGCTCCCTGAGTATTGCTGGTTCGCGTGGCTTAATCGCATTTACTTGCTGCCACTAGTTTTCACACAGGAGTTATCCTAGTGAACTCTATAAACTAATTTGAAATACAAAATAATGAAATTAACAATACAATCAAATTAATGGAATGGGAATACTCCTATCAAAAATGCTAATAAAGTAAAAACTAGGAATTACAATTTGAAGTCAACATTAAGTCATTATAGTACCAAATAGTACAAAATAAGAAAATTGAAGTAATTAATAAATAGAAAAAAATTAATTTTTTTTTTAAACAAAAAAGAAAAATTTTGTAAACGAAAAATTAAGTGAAATACAGAACCAAACAGAAAATTTGTCTATCAGCCACTAGCTAATAGTTGTGGAAAAGCAAATTCAATTGAGATGCAGAAATTTAAATGCAACTTAATCGAAAATTTCTACAGTACAGTATCCGAAATCCAGACGTTCAGTATCCGGAATGATCTAAAATCCAGACCTCTGGTTTACCAGCAACACATTTTTTTTATGCTTTACGTTTAAGCACTTCATACGTTTTCATAATAAAACATGTGGAGTACCAGTTTTAAATTTCTCTTCGGCACTGGGGCCAACCTACCGAATCATTATTTATTATTTTTTGCTTTTACCACCGCGTGATCGTCAACACACTGCAGCTTGAGAAATGTTCAAACATTTTTTTTAAATATTAGTAACTGAATGCCAAAGAACATGGCAACCTTTTATGTTGCCATGTACGCTTGAAGATATTTCACCTTTTAAGCTGTTAAGCGTTGAGTGTGATAACGAGGAGAAATTTAGCAGAAGTTGCTTTCTATGGGGGGGGGGATTCTGTAAGTTATACTCGTAGGCTAAAAGATTATATTTAGTGCTGTTTGAATTGAGAGTACCTGATTTGCTATTCAAATGAGCCCAAGACGGTACCAGATTTGGTGCAGCCGCATCGGGCGGCAGATCTTAGAGGAGGCAAAATTTTTCGAATTTGGAGAAGCATCGAGTAATAAAATTAAGGGATAGCAGAATCTTTAAGGCACTGGGACGCAAAACTTTAGAGTTTGGGGAGGTGCTTGGCAGCAGAATTTTGGACCTGCAGAGAGTACAACGGGCTGCAAAATATCTAGTGCAGGCTCTGGATAAAACTTGAGTATACCCGGGAATTTATTTATTCGGAACTCAGCAAAGTGCATGAGCATGTGAGAGAAATAGGCATAATTATAATAACTAATAAAATGCCGGCTTAACTTCGTCAGCCAGCGATCGAAGCAAGACAAAGTTTAGCAGAACAACACAGAAGTGTTCAACTTTAGTAGGTGTTCAGATGTCGCAAATAAAAAGCGAAATTTTCCAGTTAATTGAATTATTGAAGAAATGTGGGGAAGTAGGATTAGGTTTTTGTAATTACGACAGAGCCTCGAGGGCTATTTGCCTAAGATGAGGGATGCCTTTGTGGAGGACTATCTAAGGGAAACTGGCTCGTACACACGTTACACATGAGGAAAACCACGAACCCATACAGCCAGGCCGTTCGCAGTATTCGAACTTCGAACCGAACTACCAAGTGTTCAGCGACTTTACCGCTGGAGGGCACGTGGGAAAGTAACAAGTGAAGATGATATAACAGAAGTTTTTCATTGGAATGATCGATAAACTAACGAAAGGTGTAGTAAGGTATGGTTCTAAATCAAGAAAATACCGTTAACGAAGAAAGTGACAGACAGGTTGTTGAGAACGAATAAATTCCGATTGAAAATTTAGTGGGAATTCTCAACGCGGGAATTACAGGACTTGACCAATGGGACTTCGTAATTGAACAAGAAATTATGTCTATATATAGAATTAAAGAGAAAGTATTAGCACCTTGAAAGAAATTTTTAAAGTTAACAAATAAAATATAGATTCCCCCCCCCAAATATTTATTCCCTTAAGTTCATAGCTGCTCCATTACTTCATACACTACTGTTTCATATTTTTAATTTTATAATTTTTATGTGTCATCTTATTACATTTAAAGTGGTGTTTTAATACCCTGAAAAATCGAGAATCGCCGAAGTCCCGACATCTCCGGATTTCGGACTTTGTACTGTATACTGCATTATCTTTCATATTTTTTTTCGATGACAATGTTAAAAACGTATCAATAAAT